TTCCAGACAAAGACTTTAAGCTTGGGAGGGATCTTAGCTTCCTACAACCGGATCCAGCTTTGTCTATCCATCCAACTCACCGAGTCTCGCCACCCACCCCTCCTCCTGTCAAGCTCAACAGCCAGATGGTATGCTGTCTTAACCGAGAACACCCCATCAGCAGTGTTATGCCATATAAGTTTATCATCCACACTCCGCCTCGGAAGTGGGATAGCTGTAATGGCCCGACAGACAGAAGGGCCAAACCATTGACTAAGCTTATTCTCATCCCAACGCCCTTCCCCTTGACAAATAACCTTCGCTACCCGGGGATCCCCCCCCCCCCCCCCCATTTGGCAGGACACGAGGGTTATAGCAAGGAGGATCCAGTTGAAGCCCAGGAATCCATTTAGAATGCACCCGGGAGGCCGATAGGCCATTGCCGATCTGCCATCTTAACCCTGCCTCCAAAAGCTGGCGCCCAAACAGGGTACTCTGCCATCCCCAAGACGGCCTAGACCGGCCAGTAGCAAATAGAAAAGATCCGTGAGGAAAGTACTTCCCTTTGTACACCTGAGCCAGGAGGGAATGCGGCTCTTGGATAATACGCCAGCCAATCTTTGCTAAGAGCGCCTGGTTAAAATGTTCAAACCTACGAAATCCAAGTCCCCCCTCATGTTTACTGCGACAAAGGTTCTGCCAGGACACCCACCGAATCTTGGGGTGCCCCTCCTCAGCTCCCCACCAGAAGCGGGCCACATGTCTATCCAATAAACGACAAAGGGAGAGAGGCAACCGGAAACAAGACATAACATACAGGGGCAAAGCCAAAGCAATTGACTTAATTAAGGTCTTCTTAGCCGCCCAGGATAAAATTTTCTGTCTCCACCCCTACAGACGCGCCAGTAACTTCTCCTCCAGATAACGGAATGTCGCCATTTTGGATCGAACAATCAACGTGGGCAAACCCAAGTATTTATCATGTACCCCTACTGCTCCGACCCCAAGAATCGCAGCCAAAAACTCCTAATCCTCCAAGGCTACATTTTTACTAAAGATTACTGCCGACTTTTCCAGATTAACCCGCTGCCCACTCAGTTCCTCATACTCATTTAGCACCACAATTAGATTCTCGCACTCCTGAAGAGAACCTCGCATGAATAGGTAGGAATCATCAGCGAAAAACAAGTGCGAGATCCTAGGAGCACGCGGTGCCACCTTCACCCCCTCCAACTTCTTTTCAGAGATAGCCTTCCGAAGAAGAGCCGCAAACCCCTCCGTGCAAAGCACAAACAGGAGAGGCGACAACGGATCTCCCTGTCTGAGTCCCCGAGTGGAACCGAAAAAGCCCGAAGGCGTACCATTCATCAGAACCGAAAAAGTAGCAGAGCTAAGACATTCGTGTATCCATCCTTGCCAGACAGAGTTAATGCCCATCTTATCCAAAACTGCCAGAAGGAAAGGCCATTCAACTCTATCATAGGCCTTTTCCATGTCAACCTTTAGAGCCATGTACCCCTTCTTCCCCTGCCGTTTTATTTTGAGATAATGCATTAACTCATGCCCAAGAAGGACATTATCAATAATCTGTCTGTCCTTTATAAACCCATTTTGCCCCTCAGACACCAGTTGAGGAAGTAAGCCTGCAAGCCGCTCTGCCATGATCTTGGTTATCACTTTATAAAAGAACTGGCAGAGACTAATCGGCCGCAGCTGGCGGACATTTTCCACAAAATCCACTTTAGGGATCAACGTAAGCCAAGTATGATTAAAGCTCCGTAACATTTGACTAGTCGAAAAGAAAGAGCAAACCGCCTCAATCACCGAGACACCCACCACATCCCAAAATGCTTTGAAGAATTTTCCAGCAAAGCCATTAGATCCCGGAGCCTGCTTCGATCCCATGGAAAAGACAGTTTTCCGAACCTCCTCTGGTAAAACCACCGCCGTTAAAATCTCATTGATTTGCGGTGTAACCATTTGAGGAATGGGGAGGTTTGCCACCCTCTCCGCCATATTCAGCACCTAGGACTCCGAAGAGAACAGAGTTTGGTAAAAGCTGGTAGCAATCCTAGCCTTCCCACTCTCGTCCGTAACCCACTCACCCTCCTCGTCCCGCAGACCTGCGATAAAATTTCTTTTCCGACGCGTACGCGTAACCGTGTGGAAATATGCTGAATTTTGGTCTCCTTTCTTTAGCCAACGGACCTTGGATTTTTGCTGCCAGCACAACTCCTCTGCATCCCACTGACGAGATAGTTCCATTTTCAGGGATCGTACCGCATCCCAATCCACCGGGTGGATGGACTTGACGCGGTCAATCTCAGCCTGGAGAGTCTTAATATTTTGCAAGGAGTTTGTGGTGCCCGCCCTACTCCAATCGTATAGCAGGTGACGGAGCTTCTTAAGGCGCTCCCAGAGTCGAAACATGGGGGTACCTTGCACCTCCTCCTGCCAGACATAACGGACCATTGCCCTAACTTCAGGGTTCTCCGCCCAACGAGCATCAAACCGGAACAGGGGTCGGCTATTCCGAGTGTAAGGCTTATCAGCAAGAAGGAGGGAACGATGATCTGACCCCTGATCCGTAAAATGCTTGACCAAAGTCTCAGGAAACGTATCTATCCAGGACTGGGAGCAAAGGTCCCTATCCAGCCGTTCGCGAATGCACGCCTCCCCCATTCGCCTGTTGGTCCAGGTAAACTGATCCCCTTGGTACCCTGGGTCATGGAGACCCAAATCATGAACTAAATCCCTCAGACTGGTGGCTTGAGCCGCATTCCAAGCCCGACCCCCATCTTTTTCTCCCTCATGGAGAATGGCGTTAAAATCACCAATGATCACGAATGGTTGGTGAATATCCGCACACAGTTCACGCAAATGAGCCAACTGGCTATCTCGAACAGCAACATTACAACTAATGTAAACAAAAAACACCAAGTACGAAGAATCACCTTCATTAATTTGCAAACAAATATAAAACTGGGAAGAACAAAACACCGAAGTGTTAACCCCAGGGGCCCAAGCAACAACTAACCCACCCGATGCATCGACTGCATCAACAAAAAAACAACGAGAAAACTCAAAACCCAAACCGCGCATACGGCGGGCCACTACACGCCGGCTCGAACGTGTCTCTGAAAAAAACACTACATCCGACTTATTAGAATGAACAAGCCCTAAAGCGGAATGGAAGGGGAGGGATGGCCCAATTCCTCTCACATTCCAGGCCAGAAGCCTCATTTATCCACTGGGGGCCACTCGAGGCTGGCTTCCTCCACCTTTTCCTGGGCATCCACTGCTTCCACAAATTGTCTCTTCGGAGTAGGAGGGTCACCCACAGCCCCCTCCACCTCCTCAATCACTCGCTTCCTATTCTCCATGATTGGGTCCTCCAGATTATACCCATACTCATTCAGACCCAAACTCGCCTCCTTCCAGGAGGAAGGCTCCACTTGGTTAATGCTAAGCCGTACTTCAAAAGCTTCCACCACTTGATGAACTCGGCCTTTCTTGACATGAGAGACCTTTGGTAACACCAGAGGGTGAACGTCGCTTGATTTCAAAAGCATGGGACTCCTCCAGCGATGGGTCCTCATCCGAATCAGATCCCTGATGTTGTGTCTCCATTTTGGGGTCATCAAAGTCATCCCCATAATCTTTATCCTCCAAATCCTGTATTTCCCCAGTAAGACTACCCTCCTCAACCCGGGTGGGCGACGATCGTGGGGAGCGAGCTCCTTCTTTCCTCAACTGCAGGCGAACCCGAGACCCCGCGCCCCCTGCCTTGCCCACAGTCGCCTGATCAGCCTTCTTCAATATGGCTGCAGACCTCACATTATCCTCCTCTTCATATTCATCCTGCAATATCAGTCTCCTCCTTATGGATTGCTCAAGGACTAACTCCACTGAATCAGTCTCCTTCTTCGGTTGGGGAGCTTGGTTCTTGCGTCTACTCGTTTGTTTACGACCGTGAGCATCCTGCTGAACCATACTAGTATTTTTCCCAGGTGACCGCTTCTTCTGCGGTAGCCTCACCCCTCCACCAAGCTTCACCCTGGGGGACTTCTTGAAGCTAAATCTTTTTGGACTAGTATGATCCCCGGCCTTCTGGCTAGTGGGTTCTCGCAGCCTAGGCTGATTTGTCATGTTAACTTGCTCTTCTGTTTCAGTAGGCCGGTCATGGTGCCCCCCCTGATGGAGTCCTTCCAGCATCGGAGTATTTGTAGAGGGCACCCTCGGCACCTCCTCCACCCGCCCCTTGCCAATCTTTGCGTTTCCATCATTCTGCATTCGGACATTCCTGTTGATCCACACCGACTTGCTTGTACCCCGAAACTTTGAAAAGTTATCCTCCTCCATGTATACCTTGCGCCCGAGCTTCCTCGTGGTCATGTGAGGGCCAAAGCGTTCTTTCCCCGGAGGAGGGTCAAAGACACAGTCACGCTTAGAGTGCCCTACACGTCCACAGTGGAAGCAGACAGTGGGAAGGAACTCGTACTTGAGATTGACCCAGAACTCGCCAAGCTCCTCGCTAACCGCCATAAGTTGAGATCGCAATGGCTTAGCAAAGTTAATGAGAGCGTGAACTTTTACAAAGTGCTCATCCGTCTCCTTTGACGCGAAGACGTCTGCTTCCAAGACCTGCCCGATCTTCCCCGATGCCATTTTCTGGCCAAACTGCTTAGTGCAGCAGTCATCCTTCACATTCCAGAGTTGAACCCGAAAGGGTGCAAAAGCTATTACACCCCGACCTTTGGGTTCAGGTTCGACCATAATACGTGAACAATTGGATTAACGGTTACGTACTAAGGATTACAACCGCGGATTAGGAATAATAATAATTATTATTATTAAAAAATGGCCAAGAGGACCCTCATTGTTTTCCCATCACCTTCCCCCCTACGCCAAGAAACCGTCCCCATTCACTAATTAAGGAACCCTGCCGCTCAAACTCCTTTCCCTAGCTCGACTAATCCCATTCCCCACTCAGCCTCCACAATTAAACCCTCCCACAGTCCCACGATCAATTTCTATTCCCCACCAGCGGCGGCGGCGGAAGCTTCTTCTTACTCCCGACGTGAGACGATCGTAGAGGGCAGCGAAGGAAGGCGGCGGTGTCGCAGGCTGGACGACGATGGGCTCAATTGGCGCCACTTCCACGACCACCAAAGCTTCATCGCGAATCGCCTGGTCTTGGGAGGCAGCATCGACATTGGAAGATCACTTTTTGTGGCTCGCCTTGGCTTGGATCAATCGAATTGGCTGGGATCCTGAAAACGTGCCTGCTTATGATACTTTTCGCTGCACTTTGCTTATGGGTGCTGAAGGAATGATGGAGGTTTTGAAATGTTTGGACGTAATGAAGGATAAGGGATGCCATCCAGGTCACAAATTCCTTTCGTTTTCCCTTGAAAGTTGCCGTAAACATAATGATCTTAAAGCGGCGGCGATAGCCAAATAAGAGAGGGAGAGAGTAGACCAGGCGATGAGATCTGCTCAAGGGATTTTGCTGTGCCAATCACGCCACGAAGATCGCTCACCATAAGCCAGCACCGATGCTTGCACTTGGGGTAAGAAATTTCGTCCTTTGTCAAGCTTAAATAGTGGGATACGAATGTCATTCTCGTGGAACATTGCTGGGCGGTGGGGTTGCATGATGAACGTCCCATTATAATGGGTGAATGGATTTATTTACGTGGTCAGCTTCAAAATTGAAGAGGGCTTTATGTTGGCAAAGGTGGGAGGAGGTTCTAAAGTGGGGGGATAAGAAGCTTTAGTAAAATCTAATTGAATTACCCAATTAGGAATCTAAAAGTAACTTTTGGTGGTTGCTTTTATGTAAAATTCGAGCTGGATAGAAAAGCAAGAAGAAGTCAGAGTTCGACAGCGTTACATCAAGATTGAGGCACACATGCGGGGTTCATAGAGACCACTCGTTCATCGGAGAAATACCAATCGAACATGGAGGTCAATTTGAGTTTTCCGACTGGATTAATAAGGTGAGTGTAAAGGGGGTAAATTCTACGCCTTACGTATTCTTTCAACTATTTGAGTTTTCAGTATTTTTGTAAAGTGTTGCTATGGTTGTTTATGCCCATGATTGATGATATGTGCTTTGTTTGAGCTATTATTTGAAGTGAATGTGTGTTATTTACCTTAAGGCTTTACTTTAATTATAAGTGATTGGTAAAGTTAAGAAACTAGCTCTTTTTAAGAAGTAACTCACATTCAAGAAGGTGAAGTCGTTTTAAGTGTTTTTAGTCACTAGCGCCAGTCCGTTGCCTTTTGAGACATTTTGAGATAGAGCAGCAGTTATGCTCTTGAGACTTTTAAGATGAGCAGCAGTTATGCTCTTGAGAATCGTGGTGAAGAGCCACCATGATAAGGTTAAGATGTTAGGGGGATGAATCGTTACGACTTCCCTAACTAAGTTTAAGTTTAAGGAAAGCCTCGATGGCTTCTCATACGTATGAGTTGGCAACCAGACTAGCTAGTGAGGGATCCCAGTGTCAGTCAAGTATTTAAGTCGAGATTTGAGCTTTAAGAGTGGAGAGTATCAGTAACTCCCATACAATTTAAGAGTTAGGGATTTTAAGAGTGGAAGTACAAACAACTTCCACAAATTTAAGTAAGTGTTTTAGGTAAAGTACTAAGCAGTAAGAATTTTTGAACGTAAGGGCGTAGACTGACCCCAACTCACTCACCAGTTTGAAGAGGAAGAAGCTAGAGGAGCAGTTAGAGAGCATCGAGATCGAGAGAAACAGTTCGAGTGAAGCTAGCTAGAGGAGGACGGTACGAGCGTCACAGATGATGTCTAGTCAGAGTTTTTCACACAAGCAGCAACACTTGAGATTAGTTAGTTATCATGTTTTATGATTATGAGTATAGACTGGAGATCAAGTTGAGTTTTTAAAGTTTGAGTTTAATTTTCCCACATCTTAGGGCTTTGCTTTGAACTACAAGTATGTGTTTTCAGTATTTTATTTATTAAAATTTTTCCCCAGTTGAAATTTGAGATTTGAGTACTTTATTTATCAAAGGCATTTTAGTAAAAGTAGTACCCGGCCGGGTTAGGGTGTTACATTTTGGTATCAGAGCCGGTCGTCCTCTTTTCCTTGGTCTCCAAGGAATACTGGAACGTCGGTCTCAGTTTTTAAAGGTTTTGTTTTAAAGTAAAGGAAAATGAGTCATGGGTCTCCTTTTAAGAGTTTATAGAATCTCCAGTCTACTCTAATCGTATTAAGGTAAATAACTAAAGTTCTAATAGAAGAGGTTCCAATTGAAAGGGAATACCTCTAGGATGTTGAAGGAGTTGGGAGAGTAGTACGAGGATTTTACTACCAGGAAACAAGTGGATGATCTATTAAGCTAAGACAAACAATTAGGAGAACTATGAATCTCCGAAGAAAGAGCTACAATCACTAGATGTTAGTAGCTATAATGATGAGAGAATTTCAGGGTCCTTGACCCTAAGCAGTAGCGAGTCAAGAAACGAAGAGGTACCACGAGAAGTCCCTCAACTAGTTTTAGTGGTCAACGCTATTACAACACAGTGACAAGGAGCAGCGGGAAGCTTAGACTTCAAGAAAAGCTAGAGTAGTATAAATGAACTAAAGGAGGAAATAAGTAGGTTACAGGGAGTGTGAAAGGACGTCAAGAAGTCAAAAGGTCAAGGCGTAGAGGAGGTATGGTCGTTTACAAATACCGATTAAGGAACCCTTATAGACAAACTACCTCATTAGAGAAGAGGGTACATGACCATGGGGTGTTCGGCTGATAGCAAGCCTTTAAAAAGGAACAAGACAAGCAAAGAGATAAATGGTGTAGAGGTTGAGGTTAGATCAGGCATGCTATACACCTGTCAAGCGCAAACTAGAGGACAAGGTATGAGAAGGGGTTGAGAGACCCTGAAAATTACACTGATCAAGGGGAATCAGAAAATCATGGAATTTCAAGGAATCCATGGGGAAAGTCTAAAGTGAGAACTAGAGGGCCAAGAGCGGGAGTCTTGGAACCAGCCGTGGGAGTAAATCATTCAATCAACCGGGTATAGACAAGCAAGTACAACGTTCCTTAGAAGTTCTAATGAAAGTTGGAGAATTCGAGGAAGAGTCTAAGCAGTCGTAATGAGGAGAGTTTGCGAGCAATACCAAGGAAGAGCGAAAAGGCCAGAGGGAGTTTGACGAGATTTCAAGAAGTCAATGGGTCAAGTCTCAGGTGACTCGAGGTCAAGAAGCTGCACAAAGAGGTACGATGAGGGAAAGCATTACCGAGAAGGAGGAAAAGAGAAGTTACCTTATCCAAGGTGCCCCACTCTGAGTGGGCGCGAAATAGTAGGAGGGCTCCAGAGGAGACAACTAGTTAAGGAAGAAACATGCACGCTTAGTTAAGCCACTAAGAATCCTAACTAAGAGACTAAGTTTATGTACAAGATCGGTCAACAAAAGAGACATGGAATGAGTTATGTTAAAGGTTACCAAGGGCAAGCCACCATTGGAAGTTGTGAACTAAAACAACAACGAGAAAATACTCAACAGAGGGTGGTGACCAAATATAGTACAAGCAACAACAGAAGAGTTGTATTTTGGTGGTAGTAAAAGTAAAGAAGCAAGAAGAACACCATGGGAAGTTATAGAAAAAAAAGTGGTTGTCGACTGGACAATGAATGCGTGAAGGAAGATAGTTGGGACGTGGTCAAGCACCATCATGAGTAGAAGTCGTGGGTGTCATCTGGCAAGTATACCTAGAGAAAGTTTCTAGTGGGAATGTTGGCTCGGAGGTATGGCGAGGAGCTACTAAACTGAGTAGATCAAAGCTAGTACCAAGCATCGATGAAGGAGTTGTGGATGTAGGAGGAAACCACAAGGCTATAATGAAAGCTATGGTGAAAAGGGTGGTAGTTGATAAAACGACAAATTCAGGGAGAAAGATAGTTAGGAAGAGCCGGCGAAAGAATACGAAGGTCAACAAGGTGGCGTTAAGGTGATTGCCAGTTGAGAATAAGTTGGACTATAGGAAGCCCATCAAGAACGGAGAAGCTCATTGGTCAACTTTAAAGTAGAAGTGTGGTGGTCCAGAACGGTCGAAGGGAAAACCTTATCGGTCAAGGTACATAAGTGAGAAGAGAATATGGGCACCAAGATGACTACATCAAGGACGAGGGACATCTAGAACTAGCAAGGAACATCAAGAAGAAGAGTCACGAGTAAAGAAGTAATATGGATATGAGCTTAGGGAATCTGATAAGGTACCCCAGAGTGAAGCCAAGATCGCCTATGTTGGTAAAAGGTGTCAATCTCTCGGGTAAAACCTTATTGGACGGGGAAACCGTACGAGGAGTTTCAGCTAGGGTCTAAGAGTGGCAGAATGGATATTACGAGAACATCAAATTCAAGCAACTATAAGGAAGTGCTAAGTTAGGCGCTAGGAGTGAGCAAGTGAGCCATTGGGAATATCATGATTCTTGAAATGATTCATAAGGTTGATCGCAAGCTAGAGAGAAATGCAAAGGATGTCTCTAATGCCTACAGAAGGTAAAAGCAGTAGTATGAGACTTTGGCGCTAAGCAACAAGTAACGAGGAGATGACCATTCAGTTTATGGTTAAGGGATAAGACGAGAAATTGAAGAAGAAAGTAAGAGATGCAGAGTTACGAGATACAAGGACCTAGGTGACCTATGAGGTCAACTCCGGACGAGAGTTACGTTAAAGGAATTTTACCATCTGATGGGATAGAGGATAAGCCGTCATATGTAACCCTGGGGTTCAAGAGGAGCATTAACGTATCGTATACCAAACAATGGATAGTTATCGTCCCTATATACGTACAAGGTGCAACCGAGATAATGTGAGGGGTTAAGAAGCCACAACAACATTGAAGTTGCAGGGAATGGAGAGAAGGATTGTAGGTCATGTCGTATAAGTTAAGGGAAATAAAAATCCGCGAAGTGAAAAGGATTACCACAAGCGATGCTAGGGTAATCACAGTGGGAAAATTTCGAGGGCGAAATTTCTATATAAGTGGGGAGGAAATGTGATACCTCGACTTCGATAGGTTCAACATCAAGTACTGGATCCAAGTTGGAAAATTTTGAAAACGGCAAGTAGCCACTCAAAGCTACTCGATGCTAATGAGCTTGTTGAGAATACCTTTTATGGTCAAGAGGAAATAACTTGTGGTGAGGTAAACTATATGGGACAAGCAACAGACATCATCAATGTTCATATAGCGAGAGTAAATTCTTGAGGCAAGGAAGTACAAAGATGGTGTAGAATGAGCAATGAGATTCAAGCAAATTTCGGGGACGAAATTTTTGTAAGGGTGGAGAAAATGTTACACCCCGACCTTTGGGTTCAGGTTCGACCATAATACGTGAACGATTGGATTAACGGTTACGTACTAAGGATTACAACCGCGGATTAGAAATATTAATAATAATTATTATTATTATTAAAAAATGGCCAAGAGGACCCTCATTGTTTTCCCATCACCTTCCCCCCTACGCCAAGAAACCGTCCCCATTCACTAATTAAGGAACCCTGCCGCTCAAACTCCTTTCCCTAGCTCGACTAATCCAATTCCCCACTCAGCCTCCACAATTAAACCCTCCCACAGTCCCACGATCAATTTCTATTCCCCACCAGCGGCGGCGGCGGAAGCTTCTTCTTACTCCCGACGTGAGACGATCGTAGAGGGCAGCGAAGGAAGGCGGGGGTGTCGCAGGCTGGACGACGATGGGCTCAACTGGCGCCACTTCCACGACCACCAAAGCTTCATCGCGAATCGCCTGGTCTT